ACTGAACAGCCTAGTGTTTGTCGATCTGCAAGGTGCCGAACGAATTGAACCCACACTTCAATCGGTGCGTCACATTTGCAGACGAACAACAAGGTCTCCAGTAGAGCGATGACCCTTACGCGCTGGATGTCTCCGACCTTTGGACAGTCGACGATGCGCTGCTGGTTCTCAGCCGCCTGCTCCGCCTGGGCTTGTCTCTTAACGGACCGTTTGTGCTTCCTGGAGCTTTGATGCGTGCGGAACGCCTGGGTTTGGACGTTGACGGCTCCTTCGCCAGCAGCGCCGTAGTTTGTGCCGTGTCCTACGTCCTTGATACACAAACCGCACCTCACTGATGGGAAACCGAACGAAGTTTGACAAAGCACGAGCCACGGGAAACCAGTTGACCATTCCCGTTTGTACTTCATAAGCGCCTCCTGGTATTTATCCTCTGCCTCATCGCGAAGTTCCTTAGTAGATGAAGATGCTGCAGGAACGGCCGATGGTCCTGGAAGAGCTGGCTCTAAGCGGATACGTACGGTGGGTTCCGTAGGACTTTAGCGAGAGAACGACAAGCGCGACTGTTTGTGTTTGGTTGCTCTTAATTTAGCAGTAGCGGCAGGGCCGATGCGTGTCGCACCAGGTGGTACAACGTTGGTGCCGTTCGTACTAGCACGGGCGGCTGTGACTGCGGGAGTTCGAGATGAACCAGCTGCAGGTGAGGGTGTTGGTAACGTGGACACAACCCGAATAGGACGCAGGAAGTCTAATCCCGTTAGACCCCGTGATACTGGCGTCGCGCCATCGTACTGCATGAGAAAACTGAAACGAGAATGAATGAACTATGAATGAAGTGGGTACAAGTACTAACCCTAATTGGGTTGTACCCCCTATGGGATACCCCACTACAGCCTACACAAAAACATAAGCTATAATGTTCTGACAGCCATGACTAGTCCGACTGAGCCAGCCGAGCTTCACTTGTGCTACTCTAACAGCAACACTGGAAGAGTGTTGGTTGGATAGAGGAGTGCTCAACGTCAGCGAGAGAGACACACACGACGAGTTGCCTTGCCCAACCTGTTTCCAGTCTGATGGGTTTGGCTTGGCTAGTGCTTTGCGGGGGGGATCGGAACTGAACTCTCAAAGACATCATGCGAAGGCGGGAAACATACACGGGGAAAAAAATCAATGGAGACAAAAAACCTCGGGGAAAAAACTCCCCGTACCCCCCCCCCCCCCCCCCCCCCCCTAAAAAACGCGTCAGGGTAGGCCTCGGTATTCATCCTGACGTTACAGGGGGGAACATTATGGCCATCCTGAGTGTTTAGGGCATTTAATATAAAGACATCCTGAGACCTCAGGGTGAAAATTGTCATTATTCTGAAATGGCAGGGTAAATACAAAATTGCATCCTGAATTCAGAGTAATCAGGATGTTTTGCCCTGATAACTTGGGCCCTGGTGAACTGTCAGCTGTCTGCTGGTATGTCTATTTTCTTCATAAACACTTCATCTGGGCACCTTATCAAGAATGACTCTAAAGCGTTTGCAAACAGTAAAGGACCTGCGGCTTGGCGCTCACTTCGCCGCATCTTTCGCTGCCTCCAGGTTCTTGCCCTGACTGCGGGGACAGTCCGTGCACAGTAACGTCTCCGCCCTATTTCCCCGCATGCGCATTCCCCTTTCACTCGCGCAACGGACTGTGCCGGGACGCTGCCGCTCAAATTTGAAGGGGCGCTTGACTGACGGCGGATCACTGTACAGCCACTCTTCCCGCGCTCTTCCTCAACCGCAATAGGATGTAGTTGAAACGAAGGGGAGGAAAAGATCGACGACCACGATGAAGGATCGAACGATGATGCACATGCAAATTTGGGATGGATGGTGTCGATTGTTCAAGCACAGCCCATCCCATTGCAAGTGCGTTTTGTTCCCGTCCCACCCACCTGCTCGCTGGGCAATACAGTGAGATCTTCAGAGCTAGCTGAAACACTCCCTGTTCGTGGACAGTCCCCTTTTCCATCCACCTATAGTCGCTCCGCGTGTAGAATCAATAACATCATCCGCCATCTCCATCACTCGCGTCAACTCTGCTGTCGTTGAACTAATATTTCCACTGAATGCTTTCTAGCGCTTGCTCCTCCTGCCTTACTCGTGGTGATAACCCGAGGCCGAAGGGCGAGTTGTCACTTTAGTAATTGCCGAAGAAAAAAGAGAGCAGTCGGCAGCAGGCGTAGTAGAGGAGTTTAAATAGGCTCTTCAATACCTGGGCTCGTCCAGAACCAGCTCGAATATCTGATGGCCGTTCGTCCAGAAGCCAGAAGCTTCAGGCAATGACACCACGTAAACCTAGCACCTCCGAATCAATGCGAGTGTCATCATCACCTGAAGTAAACAGCGTTCAATAATGGTGACGACGCCGTGCGCATCGCCTCGAGCTAGTACGCCTCATCCTGCTCCGAGGCTGGCGACGTCTCGCCGCGCGACGAAACTTCGATTCGAGCGAAACGGATTGACGCATCCTGCCGACGCCGCAATGCAATGTATCGCGTGCCAAGTAGTGCACACGCGCCTGCTGCTGCTCATCCTGCTCATGCTGCTGTCTGCAGCACGCGGGATCACCGCCCGAGGGATCACCGCCCGAGCACCGCGCTTTTCCGACTCGTTACAATCTTCCACGATTGAAGCACCTACACAACCAACCTCGCTGACTTCCGTTTATCCCATACGTTTTCAACCAGAATCGACTGATCTCGATAATAGTCCATCTTACCCAGCAGATTCTCAAAGCGTTGACCAGACAGCACCGTTGATAGTACCTGCCGTGTTGCCTAGACTGATCGTCAGACGACGCAAGGATTCGAAACCACGCCTGGAGAATGCGGATGGAGCAACGGATTCGCGTGCTAATGGCGGCTTGAGGAGCAGCAGGATTCTAAACTCAGACGCGAGTCATATGCGAGTGGCGAGAGAGAGTAAGGTCTGCCATTTCCAACCCGCAATGCTCGCTGAATATGCCAGCGAGGCTCGTAGACTCGTACTGTGTCGTCAAGGTTGCCACAGTGCCAAGCTGCAGCTGAAGCGCGTTCTTTCGATGTAAATCGTGCTGCTGCTGCTGATGCTGATGCTGATGCTGCTGCTGCTGCTCCCTCTGTGTCCGTAGATTTCAGTTACTGAGACGTATCTAAGCTTGCTGCGTTCTTTGTTAGAGTCAATTCTGAGAATTCTCAAACGTGTCTCTGCGTTCCGAATGCCTTTTTCTCTCTACCACTGGCTCCTTTCCGTCCACATCTCGTTCCGTGCCCTCAACGCATCTTCGTTTCGCCCTGTCCTCTCCTTCCATGTTGTTCGTGTTGAAGGCAGAAGGTGACAGCCGCCTGAGCAACAGCAGCAATGGAAACGGAAATAGCAGCAGCAGCAGCAGCAGCAGCAGCAGCAGCAGCAGCAGCAGCAGCAGCAGCAGCAGCAGCAGCAGCAGCAGCAGCAGCAGCAGCAGCAGCAGCAGCAGCAGCAGCAGCAGCAGCAGCAGCAGCAGCAGCAGCAGCAGCATAAACGGTAGCGACGGCAACGGCAACAGCAGCAACGGGAACAGCAGCAGGAGCAGCGAGAGCAAGAGTGACAAAATAAACGCTACCAGCAGCAGCAACGGGAACAGTAACAGCAGAAGCAGCAGGAACAGCAGTAGCAGTGAGAAGAGCAATGAGTCTTGGATTGCCAGCAGTAGCGACGTGAGTAACAGTCGCGGAAACACCACTGCTACCACAAGCAACAGAAACAATGGCAGCAACAGTACTGCTATTACGAGCAACAGCACCAGCAGCACTGATAGCACAAGCAGCAACAGTAGCAGCACCAACAGCAGCAGCAGCAACACCACCACCAGTAGCAGCAACACCAGTGACAGCAGCAACAGCAGCAACAGCAGCAGCAACAACAGCACCAGCACCACCAACATTGAGCCCACCGCTCTCTCCCCCACCAGTCGTGCCATCCTCATCTCAGCCCTCACCCTCTCCCTCTCTCTCGCCCTCATCACCGCTCTAGCCGCCTCCACCATGGCTCTCCTGCTCTACCGCCGCCTCCCGCCCAATCCCCACACGCCACGTGGCGGCTTCTCAGTGGTCGCAGCACATGGTTCGAGTGACGGTGGAGGGAGTGAGAGTGACAGCATCAGCAACAGCAATAGCTGTAGCATTGGGAGTGGGAGCAGCCGCGGGGTTAGTGGCCGGGGTGGTTTACCCAGCCCGTTCAGGGGTGGTTTACCCAGTCCTTTTGGGGGTAGAAGGGAGAAGAGGCGGCCTCTAGGAGAGCAGTTGGAGGAGGGTGAGGGGGGAGGCTGGGGAGATAACTTAGATCAAGCAGAGATTGCTGCTGCTGGTACCAGCGCTGCTGCCGCTGCTCGTCCTTTTGCTACTGCTGCTGGTAATGGTGGTGGTGGCGCTGCTGCTGCTGCTGGGGGCCGTGCAGGGGGTGCAGTGGCAGAGAGTGAGGGGGAGGAGGCGTCGTTTGACATTCAAAAGGTGGTGGAATTCACCCTTGCGGACCTCGTAGCTGCCACTGACAGTTTTGCAGACAAGAACCACCTGGGGCAGGGCAGCTACGGCAATGTGAGTGGTGCTGTGTGGTATGGCATGGTATGGCATGGCATGGCGTGGCATGGCATGGCATGGCATGTCATGGCATGGCATGGCACGGCATGAGATGCTGGCATAGCTGACAAGAACCACCTGGGCCAGGGCGCCTATGGCAATGTGAGTGGTGACTGTGGGATGGGATGGGCTGGGATGGGATGGGCTGGGATCGGATGGCATGGCACGGCGGCTGTGCTGTCAGCAACCACCTTGGCCAGGGCAGCTGCGGCAATATGAATGGTGCAACTGGACAGGGCGCGTTCGTTCAGATCGGGTCGGTTCGGGTCGGGTGGGTGGGTGATGCTATGGGATAGTGGGAGTGCATGACATGGCGAGGTGGCTGTTTTCATGTCTGCTATGAGATTGATTGGCCCTCATCAGGTATTCCATGATTCAGAAGGGTGATGCGAGTGTGACGCTTCTGCTGCGTCTTCCCACCTCCCTTTCTTGCCTGCTTCCCTGCTGCACCAATCACGGGGCGGCAGGTGTACCGAGGGAGGCTCAAGTCGGGAGAGGTGGTGGCGGTGAAACGAGCCAAGGCGGAGCGACGGCAGGACATGCGCAAGTTCAAGAAGGAGGTGCGATGGAGTGAGGTGGAGTGAGGTGGAATGAGGCGGACTATTTGAGAGAGATGGGTGGTGGTAGCGATGCGTTTTTTAAGACGTCTCAATAACTCCCTTGTATCACGCAGAGATGGGTGGTGGTGGTGGTGCAACGAGCCTCAGTCAAGAGAGGAGCGATGATCTGATCTGATCTGATCTGATCTGATTTGAGCAAGGTCACGCAAGAGCTGCTGCTGTGCCACTGCTCCCACTCGCACTCCCTTCTCCTTTTGAGGCACCTCAAAAGCCTCACGCCAATAGCTGCTGCTGCTGTGCCAAGAACTTCAAAAGCTCACGCAAGAGTTGCAGGTGGTTTGTACGAGTTTATAAGGAGGGAAAGGAAACTTCCCCCCCCCCACAAAACCTCAGCTCCCCCTCCTCGTTTCTCTTCTCCCCCATCACCCATCTTTCTTTCTACCCCCCCTCCCCTCCCCCCTTATCAAGTGAAGCTGCTGTCTCGAGCAAAGCACAAGCATTTGGTGCAGCTGTTGGGGTGTTGCCGGGAGGCACAGGAGAAGCAGGTGGTGGGTATGAGGTCATAAGGGAGGGATAAAGGGGGAGAGAGGATACCCCCTCACAGATCCTTAAATTCCGTCCTCCTTTCCCTTTTCCTCCTCATCCACCCTTTTGAGGAGCCTCAGAAGCTCTTTTGGGGCGCCTCAAGAGGAGGGAAAAGAGAGGATACCCCCTCACAGACCCTTACCTCCCTTCCTCCTTTCCCTTTTCCTCCTCATCCACCCTTCCAGTATATTGCGGGGAGGAGCAGGAGCAGCTTCTGGTGTACGAGTTCATAGGCGGGGGAGAGAGGTGGGGAGAGACCCCCCCTGCTGCCTACCTGCAGAACCTCAACTCCCTTTCTCCTTTCCCCCTTTTTCCCCGCACCCACCCTCCCAATCCACCCCCCCCCCCCCCCCCCCCCCCCCCCTCTGTGTCAGGTGATGCTGCTGTCTCGAGCGCGCCACAAGCATCTGGTGCAGCTGCTGGGGAATTGCCGGGAGGACCAGGAGCAGCTTCTGGTCTACGAGTTCATAGGCGGGTGGGGGATAGAGGAGACACCCTCGCTCAGAATCTCAAATTCCCCTCCTCCTTTCCCTCCCCTTCCCCGTCACCCATGCTTCCACTGCCCCCTCTGCCAGGTTATGCTTCTATCCAGGGCGCATCACAAGCATCTGTTGCAGCTGCTGGTGTACGAGTTCATAGGCGGGGGAAAGGGGTGGAACCCCCCTGCTACACACAGAACCTCAACCTCCTCTTCTTTCCCTCGTTCCCCCTCACCCACCCTTTCAACCCTCCCCTCCCATCTTCCCCTCTGCCAGGTGATGCTGCTCTCCAGGGCGCGCCACAAGCATCTGGTGCAGCTGCTGGGGTATTGCCGGGAGGAGCAGGAGCAGCTGCTGGTCTACGAGTTCATAGGCGGGGGAACCCTCTCTCACAACCTCAATGCGCCCTGGCGAGCCAGACAAAACAAGCCGCCCCTCAACTGGACCGAGCGGCTGCTGGTGGCGGCAGGCACGGCGCGCGCGCTGGCGTACCTGCATGATGACGTCAGCATGCCCTTCATCCACCGGGATGTGAAGGTGGGAGATTGGATAGGATTGGATTGGATTGGATTGGATTGGATTGGATTGGATTGGATTGGGTTTGATAGGTTTGGGTTGGATTGGATGATGACTTCATGAGGAGCTGATGTCACAATGGGTTATGCTGATGTCATCAGAGAGAGAGGTCCAGAGAGCAGTATTAGCTTGGCTGTAATCATGCACTGTCATATTTCGTTCCTTCCTTGGATTAGGATTCCTGCGAGTTAAGGGGTTTCTTGTACTACTTTGATTTCTGGGAAAGTTTTTTTACAGTTTCGTTCCTTACAGTTGCTTAAGTGTTCCGATATGAGTTTGGATGCTTGGCTGTAATCGTGTACTCTCATATTTCGTTCCTTCCTTCCAGCCCAGTCGGTAACAGCCTCTTGGATTGGCACGTGGTGGCAAAGCACTTCATCTCTCTCCATGTCTATGCTTTCTTTCACCATCACTCTGCACCACTCTGCATCACTCTGCACCGCTCTGCACTGCTCCGCACAGCCCGGCAACATCCTCTTGGATCGACATGTGGTGGCGAAGCTGGCAGACTTTGGAACGTCAAGAGCCGTGGACACATCGTCGTATTCTGCAACCATCCAGGGCACTGCGGTGAGCATGGGTGTATTTCCGTGTGTGTATATAACACGTGCATCTATCACACACCGCACATGCACGTCAAGAGCCGTGGACACATCGTCGTATTCTGCGACCATCCAGGGCACTGCGGTGAGCATGGGGGTATTTCCGTGTGTGTATATAACACGTGCATCTATCACACACCGCACATGCACGTCAAGAGCCGTGGACACATCGTCGTATTCTGCGACCATCCAGGGCACTGCGGTGAGCATGGGGGTATTTCCGTGTGTGTATATAACACGTGCATCTATCACGCACCGCACATGCACGTCAAGAGCCGTGGACACATCGTCGTATTCTGCGACCATCCAGGGCACTGCGGTGAGCATGGGGGTATTTCCGTGTGTGTATATAACACGTGCATCTATCACGCACCGCACATGCACGTCAAGAGCCGTGGACACATCGTCGTATTCTGCGACCATCCAGGGCACTGCGGTGAGTGGCACAGGCTGAGGAGCATAAAATGTGCATGTAAGGTGTGCATGTAAGGTGTGCATGTAAGGTGTGCATGTAAGGTGTGCATGTAAGGTGTGCATGTAAGGTGTGCATGTAAGGTGTGCATGTAAGGTGTGCATGTAAGGTGTGCATGTAAGGTGTGCATGTAAGGTGTGCATGTAAGGTGTGCATGTAAGGTGTGCATGTAAGGTGTGCATGCAACACACGCATGTGCACACACGTCGCCGATACTCTGCAACCATATCGGGCACTGTGGTGTATCGCCGATACACAAAAGCATGTGTGCACATGTTTGTGTCAGGAGCTTTGAACCTCCCTGAATCAAGTAAGACGGCTTTGTGCCATGAGCATTGTCAGGAGCTCTGGACCTCACTGTATCCTTCTGACTTTTGAGTCGACTCAAATGCCACCTTTTAAGTCGACTCAAATGCCACCTTTTGAGTCGACTCAAATGCCACCTTTTAAGTCGACTCAAATGCCACCTTTTAAGTCGACTCAAATGCCACCTTTTGAGTCGACTCAAATGCCACCTTTTGAGTCGACTCAAATGTCAGGAGCTCTGGACCGCACTGTATCCTTCTTTATTTCACACAAACAGGCATTGTCACTGCGACCCCTATATCCTACCTAAAGACCTGAGTATGCTAGAGGCAGTGTATGGTGTATGTCTTGTCCGCTCATGTCCCTACTCCCCCTCACATAAACTCGCAGGGCTACTGTGACCTGGATTAACTCTAGGAAGGCAGCCATCGAAGCGCATAGACGTGTACAGCCATGGGCTCACATCCCGTGCTCCCCACTACAGTACAGCCTTGGCCTCATGCTGCTGGAGCTCTCCCGCTAGGCCTGTCCTTTCCCTTGTTCTCCCACCACCCTGTTCTCCCACCACCCTGTTCTCCCACCACCCTGTTCTCCCACCACCCTGTTCTCCCACCACCCTGTTCTCCCACCACCCTGTTCTCCCACCACCCTGTTCTCCCACCACCCTGTTCTCCCACCACCCTGTTCTCCCACCACCCTGTTCTCCCACCACCCTGTTCTCCCACCACCCTGTTCTCCCACCAACCTGTTCTCCCACCACCCTGTTCTCCCACCAACCTGTTCTCCCACCAACCTGTTCTCCCACCACCCTGTTCTCCCACCAACCTGTTCTCCCACCAACCTGTTCTCCCACCGCCCTCACCACCTAACAGGGCTACTGCGACCCGGATTACTTGAAGGCGTGGCAGCCATCGAAGCGCATAGACGTGTACAGCTTTGGCATCGGGCAATTAGAGCTCCTTCCCTTCACCTCGCCTCGTTCTCACCTCGGTCGTCCCCTGTTCTCCCACCCCCCACACAACCCGCAGGGCTACTGCGACCCCGACTACCTCAAATCAGGGCAGCCATCGAAGCGCATAGACGTGTACAGCTTTGGCATCGTGCTGCTGGAGCTCATCACTGGCAAGTCGCCTAGAGGCATCTCCAGGCCGTACCGCTTTCACGTGAGTGGGAGCATGATGCTGCTTTTCTTTTCTTTCTTTCTTTCTTTCTTTCTTTCTTTCTTTCTTTCTTTCTTTCTTTCTTTCTTTCTTTCTTTCTTCTTTTGAAGGATATGTCACATTCAAGTGAATGGGCATAAAGTTTCCAGTCTGTCTCCTTCTCTTTATCTCCTTTCCAAATGCACTTTTTCTTGAGTACATTCCCTTGCACGTAATAATGGGACTCTATGTGTGGCATTTTACCATGTTCGGATTCAAACTCGGATAAGCTTCCTCTGTTTATGAACATCCATGTTTGTTCTAGTGTTTATATATATATGTAATGTATGCAACAGTAAAATTAATTACAGTTCCCATGTTTGTTCGACTCCCACTTAGAGTCCCGTTCCTGAAAGCTCTCTTCCCTCCCCTTCCTCCCCCCTCGCCCCCCTCTCCCCCCCCCCAACCATCTCTCTTTTTCCTTCTGCCCCTCCCTCCCTTTTGCTTCGCCACCACTTTCCTCAGGTCCAAGATCTGCTGGATAAGAAGGGGCTAGCAGGGATTGTCGACCAATCCATGGGCATTTACCCTGAAAAGGAGGTCACCAGCGTGCTCACCCTGGCCTTCAAATGCACGGACATTAAGAACCCTGCTGCCCGGCCGTCCATGAACCGTGTGGTAACCGAGTTGGAGTCAGTGTTAGAGCCTGAGCGAGTGCTCCCGGTTACATCGGCGGTAACACGGCAAATACACCACCAACATGATATAAGCTTGTCCCGAGGAGTCGGGGACGAGAGGGTTACAGAGGCGCACGATGAAAATGTGCAAGATATTGGGGAGTCGAATAATGTGACAGTAATGGAAGAGATAAGCGGAGAGGTACGGCAAGGTCATGATGATTTCAGGGAGGGGGGTGTTATAGGAGAGGGTGGAAGCGTGGAGCTGTCGTTTGATTGGAATTTGCAAGAGGGAGGCAGTGGTGGGTTGGGGCGAGATAGGAGAAACGCTTCCATGGTGGGGGATCCGGATAGGCCAAGCAGGTTTTCATTTCGAGGTCAAGCATTTGAAGATTCTGATAGGGAGTTTGATGAGAGTGGTGTACTTAGCTATGGGCCAATCAATCCTGCCTAGATGTATAGCTGGTTCCTTCAGTTTTTGTTTTGTACGTGTATCGTATGATATCGAGTAGCTCCACTTCTATATCGAGGAGGTGTTGCGCGGAAGAGCTTTCGCGGAGCGGAGCGATGCCTCTCAGCGGAACCAGTTTTGCGGGCACAGTGAACTCGTTCCGCAGGGTAGTTGGGGTTTGGTCGGTGGTGTGGTGTAGGGGCTAGAGGGGGAAACTCCCCCCACCGACATATTCGACCCAGGGGAGGCATGCAGGCAGGCACACACACACCCTGGGGGAGGGAGGCAGGCATTCAGCCAAGGGAGGGATGTTCACGAAAAACGAATCCGGCCATTATCTTCAATACTCAGATTTTTTCTGAGCGTTTTTTCAGGTGTAATCAACCTGGACTCTCTCAACGTTGATTGGTCGTGGCTATTTAGTCACATTTCTCACGCTGGTCGAACTCAATAGGAAGTGACAAAAACAAAACCATCCACTTTACCCTTCCGACTTGGACATATGTACGGAAATTAAGGTAGTAAGAGAATGAAGCCAATATAATTCACTTGGTAGTGCTCAGTAGCGCAACCGACCGTTAAACAACGCTACCGAAAGCACTAGACGACGCTACCGAGACCTATTCGGGCATGGCAGAAAAAAAAAACACCTAGGGAACCTGGATGCATTTTCGAGAGGGGTCAGCCCTAAACACGGGGATAGGCATTGTTTTTAGGGTTGATGCCTCCCGAGTCGCATCCCTTTCCGAGGTGGGCATTATTTTTATTGTCAAGTGGGTTGCAATATGTTTTCCAGAATATTGGGAGGCTTTCGGTATTTAGGGTTGATCCTTCCCTGAAATCATATAGGTTTGCTACGGGCATTATATTTATAATTTTGCAAGTGCTAGAATTCCCCCTTTAAGTGACTGTATAGAAATATGAGCCGAAATAGCTTTACACTATATCGAGAAACTGTGTTTCTGTTGGTAGTTACACCTGAGAACGCGCTCAGGCAAAATCTGAGTATCGGAGATAATGGCCGAAACGGATCTCATGCAACGTGACAAACTTGGGGGACATGTTCCAGCGCAGTCCGTCGTGGCTGACGGTCAGCTTGACGGCAGGTTTGTTCCGTTTCCTTCAACGCCAATGGCTGAAAAATCTGTTGGACGGAGTCAAACGGTTCCAGTCGAAAATAATCAGATTCCGACTCAATTCGCTTGGAATTTGACGCGATCAGTTTGTCGTTCGTGGGGGTATGGTACATTCCGTCAATGTGGACCCTCCACCATGCTACAGAGCACTTTATCTCACGGAAAAAAGCAGTACCGCGAAGAATGTAGTTTTACCGAAAAACCTGACGGCCGCCATAGGAGTTCTCCCTTATTGCGACTGCACAAACTACTACCGTATCCTGTTGCGACTGCCCTGTGCAAATTAGGAACTTGACACTAGAGGCTCTCCATTGCCGTAGTTTTTTTTCATTGCCTTAGGTTGAAGTATGACAATGCCTGAGAGGGCCGTGGTACCAGGTGTTAAGTAGGAGAAGTCTTTCTCGTCACCTAGTTAATGGTATTTAACTTAAACTAGCGGGGCCGATTTCGTGTCTTTCCGCGTTTCTCGCGTTCATCGCTTTTCCCGTATTTAACCCTGTTTTCTTCCCAGTCTCTCCCACTGGCTTACCATGAGGTCCCCGCGCCGCTTCATTTGCGTTCCGTCGCTTATTCTGCTATTTCTTCTCGCTCATACCTCCATTTTCGTTTCCGCTGACGGATCTCCTTCAGGCGCTAGCCAGAATCCGTCCGAGAACTTCGATTTCCCCACCTTTAGCGCGGATGACGAGGAACTCATTATGGCGTACGAGAGGAAGTTCGCAGCCAGATCCGGCGAGGAGGAGGTGTCGTACGAGCAAGCGTATCATCTGGGAGAGAAACTGAGAGCTCGCGGTGTGACTGCAGCGGATGTGCTACAAAGTGAAGGCGATGTTTTGGCGGGAAAGGTTCAAGAGGAGGGAGGCGCGCAGACGGAATCCGTAAATGACGACGTTGCCCGTCAAGGTAACTTAATGTCTGATGTTACTTCACCTGCCGCATCTCCCGGGTATTCCTGTCTTGTTCCCACTCATGACTGCTTTGAAGATCTCGAAGCGCGTTTCTGCTTCCGCTTTTCTGTTTTCGTGTCTTCTTCGTTCCAACGTCTTCTGTTTTAGGTTACTAAGAAAATGACCCACTTCCCTGTTTTCGTGGCTGCTCGTTCCGCCAATATTGTCTTTCTGTTTTCCTTCTCTCTAGTTGTCCCATTAGCCCATCTGTTTCCCATTCCTAACTCCATGCATTCCCCGTGCTTTTTCTTTTCCCTCCCTTCCATTCTTCCGCCAGCAGAGTTTCCGCGGAGAACTCTCTCTGCAACTTCCGCCTCCCCCTCCGCCTCCGCTTCCGCTTCCCCTGATCAGTCCGCGCTCGCGACCCAAACCATCGCGCGTCTTCGCTCGCTCGGCTTCCGAACCTTCGCGTCCGCTCTGGAGAAAACGGACGTTCTCTCCGCACTCCCTTCGACCGTCGCGCGCCCTGGGGGGTTCTCCCTCCTCGTCCCCTCGGACCGCGCGTTCCTTCATCTCCCGCAAGCCGTACAGAAGCTATTAAGAGGCCCGGACGCGAAAGCCGTACTTAAGAACCTCATTCTATACCACATTTTTCAGCCGCGGATTAATTTTAACTACTTTTTGAAGCTCAGAGGACGGCGCGTGAAGACGCTGCTTAGAGACCAGACTCTGACCGTTGGATTCGGGCGCTCCGGCTTTCCCGCAGCGCCGACAGTCGCGGGAGGGGAGTCTCTTTGGTTTGCTCCCTCTGACGGCGGAAAGCGGGTTGCGGATAGCAGCAGCGCCAGGCCCGCTGGTGGCGGTAGCGCGGGTACCGTTGTGATTGTAAAAGATGTTGCTTATAACGGGCTCGCGATCTGCCAGGCTGTCAGCGTGGTGCTCGTTCCGCCGTTGGATCTCCTTTCGCCTCCCAACGCATTACCCTCCGCCGCCACCACCACCACCACCGCGACTAAGGCTAAGAACGCGCCTCCGGTTTCCAAAACCAAGTCGCCCGCCAACGGCGGAAGTGGAGGGAAGATTCGTCCGCCTCCATTGAAGAAAAACGTCGTCGAATCCGCCTCCACGTTCGGCGGCAGAATTGCAGCCGCGGCAGGTGCGGGGAAGCGCGGAAATGCAGCGCCAGTGGCCGTGCCGAGTCCCGTTATCCGACCGTCTTCCATAACGTTAACCCCGCAGCAGCAGGTGCTCTACTGGCTGTCACGCCACGGGCTGGGCCGCACCGCCGCGAATCTCGCGCAGTCCGGCGTGCTGGATCTCGCGACGGCGGATAACCCGGTTACCGTTCTCGCGCCAACGCAGCTCGCGTATCGCTTCCTCCCCTGGACGGTCCGGCAGCTGTTCTTCACCGCGTCGGGGGAACAGGTGTTACCGCGGCTGATGAAATACCACGTTATAACGGAGCGGCTTACAGTGAAGCAGCTGCGGTCGGCCGGGAATAACAAGTATCCGACCCTGTTGGATGAACACCCCGTTGATACGAAAGTAGGCTCGACATTTGTCCGTTTCTCTCCCGAGCCTCCGGATTACGCCGCCGCGACCATCATCCCCGGGTCGTCCTTCAGCAACGGCATCGCGACCGTCCACGTCAGCAGCTCCGTGCTCATCCCGCCGTACGATCTCCTCTCCGTCCCAGAGCCTCCCACCCCCGCGCCCGTCCCCCCGCCGCTCGGCCCCGCGCCCGGCCCCGGCCCCTCCCCCGCCCCCGCAGCAGCGGGGACCCAAGCGCTAGATATGGTGGGGGACTTGGAGGCGGAAGGGGGGAGTTTCTGGGAAGAGGCTAGACTCAGGGCTTCCGCTCCCGTTCCCCCTCCCCCTCGCCCTCCGCTTCCCCTGCCGCCGCCCCCGCCCACGGGCGGGTTCGTCCCGAAGCGCCAGCTAATCTCGTTTGACGACGCGCGCGGGGAGCCGTACAGCGCCGCGCCTCCCCCCATGGCGGAGCCTCATAGCACCGCGCCTCCCCCCATTGCCGTGGACTTGGCGCAGGAAGGGGAAGGGGAAGGGGAGGGGGAAGGTGAAGGGGAAGGGGAGGGGGAACGAGAAGCGGACGAGGTTGACGAGGTTCGGGAAGCGGCGCTAGAGACAGCAGCGGGTTCGGAGGGGAGGGAGGTGTACGGCAAACCTGGTTCCGAATCAGGTGCTTCCTCAGGTGCTGCCTCAGGTGTTTCTTCAGGTGCCAGGCGTGTGCTTCCTGAGCTATCACTCAGCGCCCGCCAGCAGACCATAGACGAGCTAGCAAAGCGCGGCCTCACTGTACTCGCTAAGAACCTCGCCGCTACAAGGATACTAGACTCCCTATCCGGCCCCGCTACACTCCTCGCGCCCACCAACCTAGCCTTCTGGACCCTCCCTCTTCCCATTAAAGCCCTCCTGATGGGTCCCAAGGCGGACTTAGTTCTTAGAAACCTCGTGGCCTATCACATCCTGCCACGTGGCCGCGTGTCGTCGAAGCAGTTTGAGGCGGGGATAGAGGCGGCGGGGATCGAGGGGTATGAGATATTTGACACGCTGCTGGAGGGGACCAGTGTGAAGGCGGAGCACGTGGGGAAGGCCCTCGCCTTCTCGCCGCTGCCCATGGTGCCCCTGCTGAGCCGAGTGGCTCGGGTTGTCGCGTCGGATATTAATACCGGAGCTGATGCTGCTGCTAACGAAGCTGATAGTAGCGGGGATGATGCTGGTAGCGGGGATGCTGGTAGCGGGGACGGAATCACGATCCATGTGATCAACCGAGTGCTCATTCCGCCGGTCAAAGTGCTGCTAGCGCCCTTCGATTCCCCCTCCTCCTCCTCCTCCTCCTCCTCCTCCTCCTCCGCCGTCTCCGCTTCCTCCTCCCCTACAGGCGTAGCAACAGCAGCAGCAGTTAACCCTTTCAGTGCGGCATATGCTGCTTCGGCCCAATCCATGGTCTTACCAATGGGTGAGTCGTGTCTCAGTAGTTGTCTGTTCAATGGACTCAAAGAGCCATTCCATCGTGTTGTTCATTCCTATGAGTGACTCACATGTCCGTTGTTGTTGATTGTTACTCTTCATCGTTGCTGAATATTTTACCTGTTCCTATTCACTGCTCGTTTTCCCTTCCCCAAGGCCATCGTCTTTCCACCTTTCCCTCCATCATCCCCTTTTCCTCTGACCATATCCCTCCACCCCTCCCATCCCCTCCTGCACCTTTCACCCTGCACCAAGTCTTATGACGTGCTCTCATCTTACTGCTGCCCTCCCCCTCTTCATGCACTCCTCTCTCCACTCCTCGCTGCTCCCTCACTAAATCCCATCCTTTCATCATCGCTTTCCTTCTTGCTTCCTCCCTCTCCCCCTTCCCTCCTTCTCCACCCCCTGCCCTCATTCCCTGCCCTAATTCCTTTCCAGTCGTAACCTCTCCAAGCGAACCCCCTCCCCCACCTCCCTCACCTCCCTCGCCGCCCCCTCCTCCTACGGCGGACGACACCATAATGAGCCGCCTGCGCCTCTTCGGGTGCACCAAGACGGCCGACATGATCGTACGCTCCGGCTTCATCGCGCTCCTCACCACCGCCACATCCCCCAACGTCACCTTCTTTGCTCCCACTGACGACGCGCACGCCCGCATCCCCGCACCCGTGAAGCAGCTTATCACAGACAACGGCGCTGCGGCCGAGACGCTTCTCCTGAGCTACCAGGGGGTTTTCGGGATTCAGACCTACGCGGAGCTGACTAACAAGTCGACCGGGTCGCTCCCAACGCTGTTGACGGATATGTCTGTCACGCTGACCAAGACCCGCTGCCCGTACTTCAAGAGGTTTTACCGGGAGCCGGGGTGTAAGGAGGAGGTTTCCCTGTTTTCGGAGCCGCCTATGAGTTACCCTGCTGTGAAGATCGTTCGGCCGAATATAATCTATATTCAGGAGCCGCGGAACATTACAAGCTCGGGGCAGAATATAACGATTATTGTGCAGACGCTTGTTCATATCTCGTCGGATTTCTTTATTCCGGATATGGCGCTGCTGGTTCCTGGTGCTGTGCCTCCTGCTCCTCCTCCAGACTCCCCCCCTCCTCCTCCCCCTTTCCCTCCCCCCTCCCCGCCTCCCTCCCCTCCTCCTCCCCCTTCCCCCCCTCCACCATAGCCACCACCAGATGAGTAGTGATCATAATGTGGTCCGAATTGGAATAGGAACTCTCGTCTCAGGCAAGACTGTGTTTGAGGAGGGTGCATGTTGGTGTCGCGGTGAGGAGAGGATGCTTCAAGCGTAACATACCGTATGAATATGCCAAGGGTGTCATTGAATATGCACACTGCACTTGCACTGTAGCTGGCTTTGTGGTAGCGAGGAGAGCATGTGTGATCTATGAGATGCTGCTGACACAGTAATTGTATGGGAATGGGAATGGATGACAGGTAGTGGCAATAATCAATGTATGCATTGATTGTCATTGGTAATCCAGGTGGTTCGCGGAGTCCATACACTGAAGTTTTGTACAGAAGCGACCAAAACATTATTGAAACGGATCAGATTGTCGAACTACCCTTTCTGACCGACCCTGGGCCTGATCAATGACCTGCGACGCGGCCAGACAAGGCCAGCCTAGACATTGCGCAAGCCAAGCGTAATCCTTAGGGCGTGGCTCCATTTGCTTTTTGACGGTTCGAGCCGTCAGCGAAACCGGTTTTCTGCTTTCGACAGAGCTCGCATAGTCTCTCATTTGACAACGTGTTCAACGCATAATCCTGTTTATTTCTTTTTCCACGCTCCAATACGAAAATATTATGCGGTCTCGTTTCCCAGGGCTGGGCTGAGCGGGTCCTGAAAACCGAACATGTATTCGGAAAACACTAATGTGCACCTGTAATTGCTCTACATTTTTTTTTTCCTGGTCGGCGTGGTACTTCGCTGATTGTTTCGAGCAGATCATCCCAAACCAGCTTCGTTAAGTTCCGTAAAATCATCTTAGACTGTTCCCAACAGCGAATCTGATCCACACAGCTCTGACCGAGCCAGCGTTATCCCTACCTCATCAACGAAGCCGCACCTCACTCCGAACCTCTCGCCCCAGGTACGGTGCCTCCCTCAGCTGTTTCTCCATACCAAACCACCTTGTTTCTACCTGTGCAGGGACTTCCGTCAGTCCCATCAGTGCGAATCACTCGAGGCGTCCATGTAAAAGAGCCATCTCCAGTCTTCACCTTCCAATGGTTCAGTACGTTTTCGGACGGTCCGTAAAGATGTAGGAGAAGCTAAGTAGGTTTACGTGCTCAGAACTTGTTGCGAGATGTTACACCTTACCATTTACTATTATCTTTCCAAGATCTCCCTGTAGGGGGCACTACCTGCCAGGCTGCCATGTCTCACTGAACTCTAAAGTAGGGTTTCCTGCATCTCGTCACCCTGTACGTCTAGCAGGGTCTTACTAGACTGTACTTAACTAGACGTGTACTAACTAAGGGAGCGGACAATCGAGAAGCGTTACTTGCAGCTTAGACTGTGCAGGACGGAAATGGCGGCAACAACGCACAGACTAAGCGTTAGGTGGTCTCTGCTCAATCAGACACAATTTGCTCAGTGATAGAACCACTCGAGTTTCGAATTATTCTAACGCTCGAGTCTAGTTATTTATTTATTTCCCAGTTGTCAGCATTTTCAAGAACCACTCACCCGTCAATAGCTGCCACTTGTAACACCGTCTGATTGCCTCTCTGCAAATCGCGGCCGCAGCCGATCATGAAGGCGTTAGCATGGGAGGAGGCTCGGAACGCCTGAGCGACAACAATGTGCGAGGAATAGGGAACTCATCTGCCAACGAGACGGCGACACGTGGCAGCAGCCTCCGGGATTCCCGGAAAGCACACTCCGGGAGCGGCCAATCACCCAGGACAATCTTCGGGGGAGGTGGAGAGGGATCGTCGACGAGTCGCGCGAGTAACGACTCTGACAGCCACGCGTCGTCTAGCCAGCATTCTACTTTCGAGCCGCCTCTAAGATCGTCGACGAGTCGCACGAGCAACGATTTCAATAGCCACGTGGCGTCCAGTCAGCATCCCCAGATGGTGCGGGAAGAGCGGCGGGGAAGAGGACGAGACGACGGCTGGGATGACGACAGCGGAGGCGGCAGCAGAACAGGAAACGGTTCTTTACCTCGGGATCGCTCTCGCGGCAGCAGCAGCGAGGAGACGCCGCCGTGCCGGCCGTCGACTTCTGGCGGCGTCCGCCGGCCGAGGCGGCCGGAGGACGGCGGCGCGGCGATGAGTCCGAGAAGCGGCAGCAGCAGTCGCGCTCCGGATTGGCAGGCGTCGTCGTCGTCGTCGTCGGGTGCTCCGCCGCAACGGCCGGCGACTAGTGGCGGCCGGCGGATGCCATCCCGTCCAGGTCCGTCAGCTGACGATGACGTAGACGGAGTCAGCGGGACGAGCGGAGATTGGCCGCCGCGGAGGTTAGTCGGAAGCGCGAGTACGAAAGGCGGAGGGGGAGGGTACGGGGATGAGGCGCCGGGTTTGCCGCACTCGGGTTCTTACTCCTCCGGGTATCGCGGGCAGGGCTCGCCGCCGCGTCGCGCGTTCCACAAGTCGCAGTCCGCGAAGATCAATCTTTCAAACTCCGGAGCCGCGGTGCGCGAAGCGGACCGCGACCGCGATAGGGATAGGGACAGGGACCGCGAACGAGGGGGTTATAGGGACCGAGAACGGGAAATGCGAGACCACGGAAGCAGCTTTAGGGACCGAGACAGAGTTAGGTACTTAGCGGAGGGCGACGCGGAGGGCGACTTACCTCTAATGTCTCCTTCTAAGGAGCGCGCCGTGAGTCGCTGGGTGGAAGATTCACTATGCGAGTTAGAAGGTGGTGAGCTGGGGGATGGTATAGATTCCCCGGGAAAGGATTCGTCTTCTTCGTCCTCCCGCCGCCGCGCGTCCGGCACGCGGCGCGACGAGTACGGCGCGGACGGGGATTACGACGAGCGATCGAGCGGCAGCGGAAGGCGCGTGAATCCGCGCGAGCGAGACGGGGGAGGGGGGTATGAAGGCTCCCCGCGCACGCCCCCCCCGCGGTCGGCGTCCCGCGGCGGGGGGCGGAACGCGGACGAGGCGGTCACTCCGGGGAGGTCCCACCTCAGGCCGGTGGATTCCGCTGGCCGCCCGCCCTCCCGCGGAGGGCCGGGGAGCCTTGATCCGTCGCTGAGCGGGCGCGCGCGGAGCTTCGGGCGGCGCAGCTCGGCGGAAGGCGGAGCGGAATTGCGCCCGCGCACGCCGTCCGGAGCGGAGCTGCTCGCGCGGCCGGGGACGGCGGAGGGGAGGCGCCCGCGGACGGCGGACGTGAACTCCGCGTATGGGCGCCCGGGCGTCCCGCGGAGCATGTCCACCGCGGAAGCCGCACTGGCAGGGCCGGGGGGGTCCCTGAAGGAGCGCGACCGGGGGGGGGATGGCGGAAGGATGCGCACAGTCCCCCGCTCCGCCTCCGAAGTTATGCCTGAGGACCTGGGCGGAGGCGGAGGGGGCGGGGGCGGCGCGCGCAGGGCACCTCTGAGATCCCCCAGTGGTAGTCTGCGGTCTAACTCGGTATCTAAAGACTATGAGGATGAACGGGGCTGGAGCGGGGGCGGCGGGGGACATGGGAGCCAGGACCGTCCGTATACCTCGCATGGGTATGGGCGGCGGAGGGAGGAGTACGGGGGAGACGAGAGGGGGGGCGGAGGGGGGAGATACGAAGGGGAGAATCATTTGAACGAGGAGCATAGGCGATTAGCTATGGAGCTTGAGAGAGAAAGGGAGGAGAGGAGGAAGCTACAGGAGGAGTTGAAGAGAATGGAGAGGGAGGTTAAGGAGAAGGATGATAGGAAGAGGACGGATAAGGAGAGGAGGACGATGGAGAAGGAGAGATTAGTTGCTGACGTGGCGGCTTTGAAGCTGCCCGTGGACCGGATTGCAGTGGAGGAAAAGAAACCTGCCCGGAGAGGAATCTTCTCGGTTTTTTCCAGCCGCCCAAAAACGCCAGATGTGGACAAAGCGGCGGGTGTAGCGCAGGGGAACACTGTAGCAGTGGTCCCGCAACCATCACCAGGGGCTAGGCCAGTCACACCGGAAGGGTTACAAGCCAGGCTGACCAGAAAAAACAGAGAGGTGATTCGGGCAGCAAGAAAAGAAGCGGCAGCAGCGGGAGGAGGGGGTGGGGGAGGGGGGGGAGTCGGGGGAGGCGGAGGGGGAGGGGGAGGGAGCGCGGATCAGGGGGGGAGTGTGAATATATTGAAGCGGCCTTTAGCGGATGTTAAGGAGGCTTATAAGGTGGATAAAAACGAGCTGGGTCGAGGGAGGTTTGGGGTGATCCGGGGGTGCATGTGCCGCGTTTCTGGGGAGCGATTCGCGTGCAAGTCCATCAGCAAAAGCATGCTGCAGGTATGTGGGGTGTTGGGAAGGGGGATGCCGTTTGAAGTTCCATGCGCGGCTGTGTGTGAGCAGGGAGTGCAGGGGCGTGAGCAGGGAGTGCAGGGGCGTGAGCAGGGTGTGTGTGTGTGTGTGTGTGCAGGGGCGTGAGGAGCAGGGGGTGTGTGTGCCGCATGTCAGTTGAGCGATTCACGTGCAAGTCCATCAGCAAAAGCATGCTGCAGGTGTGTGGAGTGTTGGGGGGGTTTGGTGGGGAGGGGAGAATAGAGGAGAAGAGAGAAGTGGGTTAGTTGGGTGCGTGTGTGCTTTTGTGTTATTGAGGAGGGGGGTGGGAGAGGGGGGGGTGGGATGGGGTACCGCGTTTGAGGGGAAAGATTCGCGTGCAAGTCTATTAGTGAAGGGAATGCTGCAGGCATGAGGAGTGTGGGGGGGAGGGAGGGAGGGGGATGTCGTTTGAGTCAGTGCATTGCTGTGTGTCTGCATGGGGATGAGCAGGGTGTGTGTGTGTGTGCCGCGTTTCAGGGAAGAGATTTGCGTGCAAGTCAATTAGCAAGGGAATGCTGCAGGTGTGTGGAGTGTTGGGGGAGGGGGAAATGGGGAGGGGGATAAAGGGAGAGGGGAAGAGGGAAATGGGGAGGGGGATAAAGGGAGAGGGGAAGAGGGAAATGGGGAGGGGGAGAGACGGAGAGAGTCAGGGGGAGGTGGAGGAGGGGGTGGGGGGAGGGGGAGGGGGAGAGGGGAAGGGGGACAGGGAGAAGGGGAGAGGGAAAGGGGGATAAGGGGAGGGGAGAGGCGGAGAGGGGAAGGAGGACAGGGAGAGGGGGATGGTAAGAGAGGGAGGGCAAGAGGCGGAGGAGAGGGATGGGGTATGCATGCATGGTGTGGAGGTGGTCGTTGCAGTTGAGGGGCTAATGCCCGTGTGTGTGAATAGAGGGTGTTGACTTTTGAGTTGACTCAAAAGGGTATGCATGGTGGTGAGGTGCTCATTGCAGTTGAGGGGCTAATGCCCGTGTGTGTGAATAGAGGGGGTTGACTTTTGAGTCGACTCAAAAGGGTATGCATGGTGGTGAGCTGCTCGTTGCAGTTAGCAGATCCTCTGACATTTTCCAGTGAGCAGCAATGCTTAGGTTTAGGCTTAAAACCGGAGGGCCAAAAAGGCCCAAATTGCCTCAACCTTCCTAACCTTGGTTGAGTTAGGCCAATTGTGTTGCTCGCTCCAACCAAGCTTCCTAAAGTTAAAGTTCTTGGCCCGCGGGTTTTAAGCAAGAAGATTGTCAGAGGGTATGCAGTTGAGATGGGGTATACATGGTGGTGAGGTACTCGTTGCAGTTGAGGGGCTACTGCCCGTGTGTGAGAGTAGAGGGGGGAACGGATAGGAGCGGGGGCGAGGGAGTGAGGGAGGGGAGTGTCGGTGGGTGAGTGGTGTGCTGAGCGTGTGCTGAGCGTGTGGACTCGAGAAAGCTTGCGGGAGAAAGAGGACACGAGGAGGGGGATAGTAGTGATGGAGATGCTGGCAGGCCACCTTTATCACCGGGTTCTTTCTTTCCCCCGTACCCATTCCTCTTATTTCCATCCCCATCCCCATCCCCATCCCCATCCCCATCCCCATCCCCATTCATCCCAACAGTGCCAGTAGGACATTAGAGGATGTGCGGCGGGAGGTGGCGGTGATGGGCACTGGACTTGCTCTCACTGCCCTCCCACATCCTCTTCTCCTTCCCGTTCCTCTCCTTCGACTTCCCTTCGTTTCTCTGTGTTGCAGTGCCAGCAGGACATAGAGGACGTGCGAAGGGAGGTGGCGGTGATGGAGATGCTCAAGGGGCATCCCAGCATCGTCAACCTGCGCAACGCGTTTGAGGACGCACAGGTGAGGGTGAAAGGGGTGGGCAGGCGAGACGTTCAGGGCAGGGGGGGAATGGCGGGAGGTGGCGGTGGTGGAGATGCTCAAGGGGCATCCCAGCATTGTCAACCTGCGCAACGCGTTTGAGGATGCTCAGGTAGAGTGGGGGGCGGAGCAATGGGGCATGGGTGGAGGGACGCTCGGGGGTTATGGCTGCTGTGGTGGTGATGCTCTAGGGGCATCCCAGCATCGTGAATCTTCGCAATGCGTTTGAGGACGCACAGGTGAGGAAGGGGGGGAGTGGAGGGGGGGGGGGGGGGGGGGGGGGGTGCGTACTTGTAATCTATGCTGAGATGGGTTGCTGGGTTGATGCGGTGGAGATGCTCAAGGGGCATCCCAGCATTGTCAACCTGCGCAATGCGTATGAGGACGCACAGGTGAGGAGAGCGTTTTGAGGCGTCTCAAAACTCATTTATGGTAAGGGGTAGAGAGATGGTGGCGGTCAGAGGAGGGCGGGGGGGAGAGGGGGAGGGGGTAGCAGGCAGGGTATCCGCAAGGGGCATCCCAGCATTGTCAACCTATGCAACACCTATGAAGATGCAAAGGTGAGGGGGCGGGCAGGCAAGGGCAGGGGGGGCAGGCGAGACGTTCAGGGCAGGGGGAGGTGGGGGGTGGTCAGCGGGGAGGGGGGATGCTCAAGGGGCCACCCTAGCATTGGCAACCTCACCCCTCAGCACTCTCTACCTCCGCACTCCGCTGCATTCCATCCTCCCCTCACCACCCCCCCAGGACGTGCATCTGATCATGGAGCTGTGCGAGGGGGGCGAGCTCTTTGACCGCATCAAGCTGCGGGGAAAGTTCCCGGAAGCCGACGCGGCGAGGGTGATTCGCACTGTGGTGCTGGTGCTGCGGCACTGCCACGGGGCCGGCATCATGCACCGCGATCTCAAGCCAGAAAATATTCTGCTGGTTTCAAACAACAGTGATACGGACCTCAAAGTCATTGACTGGGGTGTTGCTACCTTCTTTCAGAAAGGTGAGGTCTCCTGGATGGTAGCTGGGCACAGTAGCACTGATCTGATCTGGTCAACCCTGATTGCTGTGGTGGTCCGCACGGTGGTGCTGGTGCTGTGGCACTGCCACAGCGCCGGCATCATGCACCGCGACTTAAAGCCCGGGAACATTCTCTTGGTGTCGAATCAGAGCGATACCGATCTGAAAGTCATTGACTGGGGTGTGGCTACCTTCTTCCGATCTGAAAGTCATTGACTGGGGTGTGGCTACCTTCTTCCGATCTGAAAGTCATTGACTGGGGTGTGGCTACCTTCTTCCAGAAAGGTGAGCTGTTGTGGTTGGCTTTTGAGGCATCTCACCAGAGCGTGACACGGATCTCAAAGTGATCGACTGGGGGGGTTGCCTTGCCGCGTTCTTTCAGAAAGGTGAGCACTTCTGAGGCGAGGCGCCTCACAAGGTGAGCTCACTTGGTGCTGCTGATGCTGTGCTGTGGCTGGCGGCTGGGGGTGATCCGCACGGTGGTGTTGTGCTGCTCCTGAGCTGCGAGTTGACTTTTGAGTCGACTCAAAAGTCAACTGGTGCTGCTGATGCTGTGTTTTGGGTTGGGGCTGGCGGCCTGGGGTGATCCGCATGGTGGTGTTGTGCTGCTCCTGCGCTGCGAGTTGACTTTTGAGTCGACTCAAAAGTCAACTGGTGCTGCTGATGCTGTGTTTTGGGTTGGGGCTGGCGGCCTGGGGTGATCCGCATGGTGGTGCTGCTGCTGCTGCTGCACTGCGGCACTGCCACGGCGCCAGCATCATGCACCGGGATCTCAAGGTGGAGTGACTTTTTGAGTCGACTCAAAAATCATGGCGCAGGCATCATGCACCGGGATCTCAAGCCGGAAAACATTCTCTTGGCCTCGAATAACAACTGTGTAGCTCTGAAAGTGATTGACTGGGGTGTGGCCACGTTCCACCCCTCCTCCCCCATTCCCCCAGGCAAGCCGTGCACCGACATGGCAGGCAGCCCGTATTGCTTGGCTCCAGAGGTCCTGGCTGAAAAGTACGGTCCGGAGGCAGACATCTGGAGTGCGGGAGTGGTGCCGTACATACATCCTGCTGTGCAGCCTGCCACCCTTCTGGGGCACAACCAACGACGTCATCTTCTAAATCCCTCGTTGCCCTCCCTTGCTCTCCCTCCCTCCACTCCCTCCTCCTTCCCCCCAGGCAAGCCGTGCACGGACATGGCAGGCAGCCGGTACTACCTTGCACCAGAAGTTCTCACTGAAAAATATGGTCCTGAAGCCGATATTTGGAGTGCGGGGGTGGTGCTGTACATCCTACCGTGCGGCCTGCCGCCCTTCTGCAGCACCACCAATGACGCTATCTTCTAAATCCCTCGTTGCTCTCCCTTTCCCTCCCTCCACCAACGATGCCATCTTTGATGCCATCAAGCAGGCCACTCTGAACCTCATGAGGCCTCCACCCCCAAACCCCTCCCGCCTCCCCTCCCCCCTCCTCCCATCAACAGGCAAGCCCTGCACAGACATGGCAGGCAGCCCCTATTATCTCGCTCCAGAGGTTCTCGCCGAGAAATACGGCCCAGAGGCGGACATCTGGAGTGCGGGGGTGGTGCTGTACATCCTGCTGTGCGGCCTGCCGCCCTTCTGGGGCACCACCAACGACGCCATCTTTGAGGCCATCAAGCAGGCCACTCTGAACCTCGTGAGGCCTCCGTGGCCGTCGATCTCGGACGAGGCCAAGGATCTTGTGGTCAGGATGCTCACGCGGAACCCCAAGAAGAGGATTACTGCTGAAGAGATTCTTGGTACGTTGGGGTTTTACGTTGTGAGTTGAAGGAACGTTTGTTTGAACGACTGGCTGTTCATTTCAATGTTTGGGTGTTCATTTCATCGCTTTATAATATATGTATTTTAAGAAAGGAATCCATGCTTGTTTTTCTTTTAAAAAGTTCATTTGCATGAATGCCCATTTAATGAATGCTCTTTCATCTCATTGAGTGACCAAACATTCCCAGTGCTCATTTCAATCCACATGCATGTATCTCTATCCAAGTGCATATTGACATGCATCCATGTCCATGGATCTGCATCTGTGTGCATTGTTGTTTGATCACCCTCATGCACCAAATTCCTGGCTATCCCTTGTTGTCGCCATCCCTCATTGTCACCACCCCTCATTAACACCATCCCTAATGTCACCATCCGTTATGGTCACCATCCCCCACTCACACCCCACCAATCCTTCCAGATCACCCGTGGATTCGCGCCAACGCCAGCTGACCCCAGCCTCTCCGTCAAGACTCGAGGTGACTGTTGCGTCAACTCAAGAAGGCATTGCTACCACTCCCCACTGTCACCCATCCCACCAATCCTTCCAGATCACCCGTGGATTCGCGCCAACGCCAGCTGACCCCAGCCTCTCGATCAAGACTCTAGATAACCGGGGGTACCAGAGGTTACCAGGTGACTTTTGAGTCGACTCAAAAGTCAACTCTCTTGGTCAAGAACCTGGATGACGCGCGGGGGTACCAGTGGTTACCAGCTGACCTTGGTTACAGAACATTGACAAATCAGCATGCTTTAGAGATTGGTTAGCAGGTATGACTGGTTTCCCTCCTGAGCAGAAGATGCTACTGCCAGTGCCACTGCATCAGAACAGCATCTTCAGGGTTTGGTTGAAACGGAACAAGGCTTGGCTTGGCTCAGGATGCAAGTGCATCAAGAAGGCTTTAGCAGAGCAGCTCTTTCTTTGTTGAGAATTTCTCTTTGGGCTGGCATACGGTACATGTGTGACCCAGTCTACAATTCCATGCCCTCTTACCCCTCTTCCCTTGAACCCTTGCTTCCCCCCCAGTGCAATTTATGATCTTATGTGACATTCATGAGGGTTTAGTTAGATGGCGCAACAACTTTTGAAGCATACTGTATTCCTCCTGCCTTAGCTTGGGTGTGTGAGAAGCTTACATAATTTAGTGAGAGGTTTGCATTGTGGGTTGCTGCAACTGGAGGCTTGCAGATAACTTGCAGACAACTAAAGGACCAGTTTACAGCAGCAGGTGTATAATATGGTTTTTAGTTAGTGGCCCACTTATTGAAAAGTGGTACTTTCAGTTCTTCAGTGGATAAAGTAATTCTCTCATTCTTTCTTGTATGTAGTGTACAGAAACCCTGTTATAGTGGTGCACGCTTTCAATATAGCATAAACGAGTCATCCAGCTTATAGAGCACGCGTTTCCCTACATAGCTCAGAGCTTGAGTCCCATCCCACAGGGGTTCCCTTGATAGCTCCTGCAAGCAAGATAGGTAGATCGCATGCCGCCATCACAGGCTGTGAAATGGATTATCTTGATATGCTCATAAAGCAGCAGATATGCACACACGCATCACATAAACAAAGCAGATTTACACGGTGCGCTGCTAAGGAGAGAAGCCTCCATGAAAATCGCACACCAGAAAGAAAGCCCATAACACCTACTAACCTCCATCCCCCAGGGGAATGGGCTATTTTCAACCATCGCTCTAACAAACAAAAATATATATCCAGCGTTCCCGCCTGGAATCACGCCTAAATTATAAAAGCAGAAATTAAATGGCTGTCAGATCGCACTCGCTCCCCACTTGCGACATTTGTCTGAAGCGCATTTTCTGATCTGGAACGAAGGTGGAGCCGCACAGCTGGCCCTGGCTGTCGATGTGCGGCACGGCCTTGAGCATGCGGTCAGGGTGCTCGTAGCTGTTCAGTCCTGCTGCCGTGGAGAAGTAGCATCCTGCACGGGGAAAGGGTCGACAAGATTTAGGTTAAACCTGAGCGGCACGGATTGAAAGGCGATATGAATCTGCAATGAGAAAAGATCCCCCATGACCAGCGAAGGGATGGCAAAATTAGGAATTCGTACCCTTGGGGAAGGGCGCGAACGAACGTCCACAGTTCTTTCGGAGCGTGTCGCACTTATCCGAGATAGCCAGAACCGAGTCCTTGCACAGACCCCAGTACAACGGCCGCTTCCCATACGCATCCTGAGAGACAAACACCTTCTTCTGCTTCTGGTCGTACAGCACGAACGAAAACGGACCCCGGAACTCCGAAAGGGCGTGTTCAACGGTGCAGGGGGCTCTATCACGCAGCGTCTTGTACACCTCGATCACGAACGCGGCCTCGCAGATCCGGTACCGGGTGAGACCGTACGCCACCCGCATTTGCGGGAGGTTCTCGAGGTTGCCGACGAAGGTGCAGAAGATGTCGTCGCACGAGGCGAATTGTCTGAAAGCAGAACATTATCGATATAGAAACAAATCAATTCATGCTGGCCAACTCGCGATCTTAACAACATTTCGCGAAGACAACGAACGCAGCCGTCATCGTGCGGCCTGTAATTGTGATGCTGAAGAGATGCAACGACCTCAAGGGTTGTAGAAAACGCGGCAGTGGTTATTACCTGCAGCCGTCCCCTGTAAAGGCAATCTCGAGGTTGTCATCGAAGTGCAGCACTGTAGCCGAAGAATTGCTCTTCATGAAATCTCCGACAGCGGCACTTCCAGAGTGAACGTTAGCCGGGTCGGCTGCGTCGGCGAGAGCGCACTGAAGCTCGGGCTGGCTGGGAGCCACACCCTTGTGGAAGATGGCAAACATGGTGTAGGATTAAGAATCGACGACGAATCGGCCTTCACGTGAATAACGGAGGCTCAGATCAACCCTGACTTTGCGTCAGTGCCTGGGAAAGTCCTGGCGTCGTTTGCTCGGCACGAACAGAGAATGCCGTTCTGGTGCGAGCAGAGCAACGGGAAGATGCAGAAACTGAAATCAATTTCAGCTTCACTGAATGTGAACCTCCGTTTCCAGCTGGACACTGGAGCAGCAGAAGATGTTGAGAGAAGCAATGGGACCTCGATTGTGTATTACTGACACAAATAATGGAATATAAATGACGAGACGACACCGCTCGTTACTGGGAGACTCGACCAGGGAGAGTCGAGAACACCGCGGCGCGAGTCATTCGGCACATCGAGTCAGCTGGAGCAATCTGTACCACAGACGAGGGTCAATCAACCAAGTCTCTTCCTAAGTGCTTGAGCAACGTCGAGGGGAAGGATGGACAGCCCCGGGCAAGGGTGGAAGGAAGAGGATGAGGGCGTGTTCTTTTCAACATAAAGTTCGGTGTGAGGATTTTCAACGGTTAGGATACAAAGGTGGCGGCAAAATGCTGACGTGACACAAAGATATCTGTTGATCTATTGACACTGAAGGAGCAGATGTGCAGGCTTCGTGTCACGGGAGGTCGAGCGGGGGGTCATGATGTCTGGGAAGAGCGGGTTGTGGGAGAACGTTGTAGACTCGTAGGAGGGGGGTATTTTACAGGAGGATGGATTGCCACGCATTTGCCATCCTGTCACACTTGCAGCCAATAGAAGGACGCGCGCCTCGTCTGGCACGTACATATGCATCATCCCAAGAGAGGCTGGATGATGAGTCGGTGATGCGCTGTATGGGATCAAATGCACTGATTTTGGGGGTTTTGTGATTCGGTGACGCGGGCTGAGTCACGCAAATGGGATTCTGGCGTGGCACGCCTAAGATATACTAGTGCTCTGCATCTGCCAGCGAGGGGTTGACCCGGCAGCCAGCGCTTTTGGGCCTTCGCACGCGTGGACTAGCGATGCTGTTGCGGTCTGTTTGGACAGCCTCCACATGTAGATCCCCCTGACCTGGACGTGGGCGATTCCTTGTCACGTTTAGCGTGGCAGTGACCAAGCTCTGGACAAACAGTACTTCAACCACAAAAAATAGTGTATCTTAGCCTCAACTAGACTGAAAGGTTCATAATGCACTTCAGATGGGCAATCATATTTGATTTCTCAAAAGAAGACCATTAGGAGTGCATGTTACGGGTGCAATGAATCAAGGTAGCTAGGATTGCACTAATGTGTCAAACGAGTATGAAATGTGAGCGAAGGCATAAGCAAACATTTATACGCGAAACATGCAAACGGTAACGCGGTGCGTATTGTTGGAAACAGTCGTTCCTAAGCGCCTCTGTCGTGTCGAAACACTAAGGCACAAGCGAAGCAGAGCATATCGAGGCACCAGCGAGTCAAACCTCGGAGGTTGAAGTAACCGATGGAGGTGACGCGAAAGTCAAAGGTCAGCGACCTTTGACCTGACAAATGCAGTGCGACAGCAAGGACACACAACTGACTCGTTACAGACAGGCCCTCAGATGTCAGCGTAAAACACGCTGATTACACTGATTTTGTAGCTCTGAATTTCGTTTTCCCTGGAAAATCAGTAAATGCTTCCATTTTGGGCTGAAATTTCAGTAAATGTGAGTTTGCCACACTGACGGTTTTGTGTGTTTCTGAACGAGTTACACTGAGGAATCAGTATACTTCAGTGCGTCACCCTGAAACGGATTTGACCGGCCGGGGGAAAGGGGGGGGGGGGGGTGGGGGGGGGGGGGGGACGCGTGTACAGGCAGTTCCTTCGCGTGATTCACGAAACCCCACACACACTTGGAATCTTCTCACATGCGCTGTATTTACAGCTAGTGTGCGCCGAACCGTTTTGCCGCGATGGAAGCCAGAATACCAGAGAACGGCTAACCTAGTTCACAACTGCCCAATGAGAACACAGACAACACACCACTGGTGGCAGGGTCCACGCCAACACGCCAGGGATGGCAGAGTGGAGTGGGGGTGTTGTCATCTTGCCTGGGAAGACGGAAACCCTGGCCTGGACCAAGATCCCTCGTCATCGCAGCTCGGGAGAGGGGGTACCCCCATCTGCTCCCTCATTCTGTTCCTGCACTCCTCGTGAACCCCTGCAGGAAGTGATGTTCGAGCTGAAGCAGGAGTATGTCATAATCCCAACCACTAGACCATTGGGATAAAAGGGCTTGTTTTAGTAGCGGGTCAGTGCGCCCATAACTCCCCAGGCAAACGCGTCTGTAACCCCCCCTAGGATCGATCGGGGATCTTACAGTGTAGCTCTACTGACACCCCCCCGCACTGGGAGGCCCAGGACTAAGCACAGTGGCAATGGCCAACATGTGCATACACCGGGATTCGAACCCAAGACCGCTCTGATACCATGTCAGAATCCCAACCACTAGACCATTGGGATAAAAGGGCTTGTTTCAGTAGCGGGTCAGTGCGCCCATAACCCCCCAGGCAAACGCGCCTGTAACCCCCCCTAGGATCGATCGGGGATCTCACAGTGTAGCTCTACTGACAGAGTAGCTTCTCCCTCAAGCTCGGCATGCTCTGCAGCGCTGAGCAGCCATGGCGGTTTCGACGCCCGCAGGTGACGGCCCTCCGCCCGTCGCAGGCACGAGGCCAACCGCTATTACTGGCTTAGACTTTTTACGACGCGTTCACGCTGCTCCCGCGTTAGTCCCGCCGTCAGCTCAAGCCGTG